CATAAGCTTTCGTGGGCTGTAGTCCACGAAAGCTTATGCTCTAATAAATTTGTTAGTCTCTAAGGTGCCACAAGTACTCCTGTTCTTCTTTTTACAAAAATATAAAAGCTTCTTGGCACAGAACCAGAAATGTGTTGATACCGTACAGGGGAATTGGTTCTTAATGGTGAGCTTGTTCCTTTACTCCTCAGTTTGTATTGGATTGTGGATATCTTGCAGTATCTGGAATGGAGGGAGGGGTGGATTTGTGCTGTTGCACCAGTGGCCCCTACTGGCCATTAACAACAAGAGGTTGCATGCTGAAAAGAACTCCACTCCCTTTTTTCCTTGACTGGAAGGTACTTGGTTACCTAGTGTACTCCAGTGAAATTTCCAGAGGACAGTTGCTGGGAGGTGAGAGCCCTATTAGCTACCTTTATCTCTCTGAGAGAAGCATATGAAAAGGAAAAATACCTTCCTCTTACTGAGACTGAATAAATCCTCTAACCTTAGCTATTATTGTCCTAAGGATAAATACTCACCCTTACGTATGGTCAATCTTGGGAGGGTCTTGGTGTTGGGGGAAGCTGATTAGCAATGTAGTTTGGGTGGGGAGAAAAGGCTAGGAAAGTGGATGGAAAGCAAACAACCCAATAAAAGTTTGTGTGAGTAGGTCGGTGCAACTCTATTATCTTCAAAGGAATGAATCTGACCCTATGTTAGATAACAACTTTTACTATTACTTTTCAGCAAAATAGAAATCAAAGTTCAGATGTTGGCTTCCTTTTTTGGGGGGGGGGGAGCATCTTTTAACTTACATGATGGGATGTTTCTGAGTTAGAAGCAGTTTTATCTGGATATAAAGAAAGACGCTATTAGACTTCTGGCATCAGTGGAAATTCCTTTGTCTCAGCTTTGAGGATGTTACTACTAAATGGATTCAAAATACTATCTGTGTAGAGGAAAACTGACATTATTCTCTGCTTATATTTGTTTCTACAAAATGTGCATGTAACTAATATATTTTAGAAAATTTAATAGTATTTACATTTTATTAATCATTGATGCTTCAAGAGATTTTTTTTTTTTAAGTCCATTGATTTAAGGGGACCTTTTTGGGTAGAGAGACTTGCAGACTTGGGCTCCATATATTTATAAAATTTCTAATATGAAATCACAAAATATTAATACCTTTTTAGAAAGCTTATTAGATGGTGTGTATTATAATGTTTGCCTTAATCCCTGAAATGCTAGGAATTATGTTTAACTGTGTGTCATGGGACAACCAGTGACCCACCAGGATGGGTTTAATGTTTTTTTGTTTTTGTTTTTTAATGTAACTGCTTTCTTCAGACTTTTAAAATCAGGTATCATAGAGAACAGATTTTAGATGTAGTTGGATGGGCCTGTCACTCATCATTCAGAATGGTGCAATTAAAGGAAAACTCCAGTGACTTATTACACTAAAATAGATAGATAAATGTTTACTAAATAAGAATATTAAGACAGGAATTTTCAGAGCTTTTTAGAAATACTTATCAGTTTCAATATCTTGTTAAATGAATGAAAAAAAGATGTCTGTCTCAATTAGGTCTAACATTTCAATTATACTTTCCATCAGGGGCCCATTTTGATGCAGAGTAGGGCAGAAACATCATATTCACCATTTGAAATTATTAGTAATACAAGACTCTCAAAGCTTTTGGGAGGAAGCTAGAAATAACTATTTTTAAAAAGAATTTATTCAGCTATTTGTTTAATCACCTTTTTAAGTATAGAACTTTTTTTACAACAGCTCTGAAAGTTCTGCAGTTCTGTGACCTAGAGGGAGGAGTCATTTACTTCATTGCACTAAAGTTGGTTGCTTGAAGGGGAAGAGGGGAATATCTGTGTCTGTCTTTAGTCCTTGCTAATTTAATCTTTGTAATTCAGTGTAGTGATTAAAATAATTTCTGTGTTGCACTGCAATTTTCCTTAAAAGGGACACTGTTAATAACACTTCTGACTGAAAAGTGTTACCTATTATTGCTACCTAAGATTTTGACAAATCTTGAAAGACTAAAGAATTTTTTTTCAGTTTGTTTAGTTTGTGTGTATTTGACAGCACTTTGTGTATAAACAGTTTCCTCTTTTGTTTGCATAGATATTTCCCACAATAACAGGGGAGAAATAAAGACATTTAAAAAATAGTAAAATGTGATTGTACAGATATCACGGGGCTCAGAAGCAGGCATAGTACCAGAAATCAGTTTTAACTTATTATTTTAGTTGACTTAGTCTCAGCTCCCTTCTCTAATGTACAAAGATAATTCTCTGTTTAGTTAATGATGGTGCCTTTCCTATTAGGTAGCAAAGTAATATCACTGTAAAAATCAAGTAAAATATATGCATTAGGTTTGCTATCCAGTATAAGCCCAATACTGCAAGGTTCTAGCTGCCCTCAACTTACTTTTGCCTTGCAAGATCCAGCCATGTAAGGGACAACAACCATACAAATTCTTACATGTGAGAGGTGTTTAGATAGAAACATGTAAGAAACGGCATGTAGAAAACAAATACTCAGTGTGTGTGTGCATGTGTGTCTTTATATTTACCTAGAGATGAACTGAAAACTCTAATCCTATGGAATGAAAGCTTAGTCTACACATTGCTTTTTAAA